GTCTGGGTGAGGTTGAAGATGGTCACTATGGCCACACAGTACAGTGCTAGCACAACGATGCAGCCCACAATACTGAGGGCAAAGTTGCCTAACAGGCCACTAAGCCAGTGTCCAACTGAAAGAAATGCTCTCATAAGATAACACTACTATCCATGGAGCTGGTACTGAGGACCGCCACACCATGCCAGCCACGTGACTGACATGGCCACCAGAGGCAGTACCCAAAGCTGTGGTAGGGAGGTGAGGTGAACCTAGGGCATCATGGATATGGGTTAGGACCCTGAAGAGTCACTCTTGCATACTGGAGGGCCACTCAGAGCCCCATACCAAGAGAGCTGAGCAGGAAGCCATGGCTTAGGTCGGGAGGACAGCCGCAACTTGACGCCCAAGGAAAGCGAAGAGGCACTGTTTCTTTCTTTCCTTTAGCTAGACTCCCCATCCCAAGAAGCCCCACCCCCTCCGGCAGAGGGCCTTCCAGAGGCTTGCCTCCCCCACCCCCACACACGCTGCTGTGAAAACAGACCAGAGATCTAGCACTCCTCAAGCCTGCTGCACAAGGTGGCCTGCATCTAACAAACTTCAGTGTAGCTGATCCACAAAGGTGAGCAAAGGCTGGGGACATACAACAAGGTAGTAAAGCAGTTTCTGAGGGACTCTTCCCTGGACACTCCCAATTTCAGGACAGGGACATGAGTTGTGGATTAAGCAATTTGGACAGATGTTCTATCCAGCAAATGCCAAGCCTTCATCAGCTTGGGGTAAGCGTGCAACCCAGGAGCCCCTGGCTCCCTACTGCAAAATCTCGAGTTTATGCATAAACTACTGCCAGGCTCAATGAATGGCTGAAAGACAGAGCCTCGGGCTCCACTTCACCCCTGCCTGGGAGGGAGGTAACAATTGGAGATTTGTTTTGGGCTAGGCCAGCGTGGACACAACCTCTCTGAGCCCTTGAGTCCGTCCGCCAGGAGCTTTCCTGGCCTCAGCCATGCTAGGACAGTGGCTGCTAGACTGAACGGCTTTGTCACCTCTGTACCCAGGAGAGGGGTGAGGGGTGAGGCTGCAGGCCCCAAGCCAAAGCTGCACACTTTCCCCTTTGTTCCAGGCCTCATAGCTCTTCCAGTCTGTTGGGGGGTGGGGGGGCTTGATCCTTGTACCCTTGGTGTTGGAGTAGATCTCCAGGCCCTGACACCCTATGACCAGGAGGCACAGGGTAAAGCTGCGCTCTCTGAAGTCACAAGCTGATTAGTGGGGGATTTGGGGCTGACCCAGCGAGGGGAAGGTAAGGCGGAACCAGAGGGTGACTCAACACTGGACAAGGATCATCTTGGGGCTGTTTACATTGTTTGTATATCTAAGCTGGCCAAGAAAAAAGGTCTTTCCACTTATAATAGCCACCACCCTGCGAGGACATGGGGACGGTCTTACTCACAATTACCAGAGAAAGAAACCGAGGCTCCAGGAAAGCGACTTCCTTCACAGAAGCTTCCAGATGTTCACTTATATCTAAAGCAACCTCAGACTCCTACAGTACCCAGAAATGGCTGTGAAGTCTGAAGCCCGAGGACTTCTGCACACGTGGGACGGGTGGGAGCTGACACAGAACAGGGATCAGAGGGGGAATCTACCAACCCCATAGAACACCTCACATCTTCAGTCTTGTCTTGGACTCTACTGGCCTCAGTTTCCCCTCTGTAAAAGGGAAGGCTAAACCAGGGCCAGAAGGTCTCTTCTGGATGAGTTTCCTTCATCTTCATGCTACCTGCAAAGGTTAGCAGCCTGGTTGGTTTTTTTTTTGGGGGGGGCGGGGGGGAGGCTCAGCACATGACCTTGACGTCACTCTTCTCTGAAACTTTAAGGTCATGGTGGACTCCCATTTCCTCCATGGTGCAGTTGTGAGGCTCTCAAGAGAAAGGGGACAAGAAAGCAGTTGTGTCCATTCCCTTCACATCACAGGGATGGAACCCAGGGCCTCACACAGTGGTAGAGCAAAGGCTCTACCACTGAGCTGCGCATGCCCCCAGCACTGAGAGGTGCTTTCCTAACTACCCAAACGCTTGGCAGAGAGCTGAAACAGAAGCCCAAGGCAGGGCAGGCAGCCACACTAGATGGCTCAGCTCTGGGCCTGGCACCCTTAGCACACACCACCTCCCCCTACTCCCTCAATCCCCCAATCCCCCACCCCCGGCGCCCTCTGCCCCCTCCCCCAGATTCCAGAATAGTGAGGGCTTTAATGACTTCCCCGACTAACACAGCCCAGCATCCGAGTGCCCCAAAAGCACATGCTTCAGCTGAGGCTGAAGGTTACTGAAGGTTACTCAGGGCCCAGCATGTCATGGGAATTCAAGGAAACAAGGACAGCTTATGGAGCATCTATAGAGACCTGCACACATATCCCCAAACTCTATTTATTTGTTTATTTATTTAGGGGTAGGGTCTTACTGTGGCCTTAGCTACTAGCCGAGAGAACTCACCATACAGACAAGGTCAGCGTCAAGCTCAGAGATCACTTGCATGCCTGCCTGGCTTTTTAACTTTAAAGTTACATCTACTTACTTATTTGTGTAGGGTGGGAAGAGACACGTGCCAGTGTGCATATGGAGGTCAGAGAACAACTTGCAGGAATCAGTTCTGTCCTCTACCATGGGAATCCCTGGGATGAACTAAGATCGTCAAGCCTGGCGGTAAAGTGCCTTTACCTGTTCAGCCATCTTTAGGCTCCCCCACCACTGAATTCTAACCATCTAATGATTCAAACTGCTGTCATTCTGCAGTTGAGGCAACTAAGTTAAATGAGGATTCAAAACCTCACGGTGAGCCTCAGATAATTACGTTTTTTTCTACCACTGGATCCTGAAGAAGCCTGTGACTTTTTAGTCTTCTGTTGAGTGAAGAGACTGACCAGTCAAGCAAAGGGCAGCGGGGACTAGCCTATGGGCTAGCCTAGCCAGGATGGCCACTAAAGGTGAAGTGAGAGGCGGGGGTGAACTCTTGCTGGCCCCTCCCTGCTTCCTACTCAGCGAAGCTCAGAACTTCACGAGTACACCAGAGACATGCTGGACATTTAAAACAGCTCTCCAGGATTCCGTTTTAATATACAGCATGAAAGGCTATAGCTCTGATTGAGAAATCAGCAGTCTCCAAAGGGAAGGGCTTTTTTCCAAAATGTACACAAGATAATTAAAAACACCTAAACCGGGCGTGGTAATGCACGCCTTTAATCCCAGCACTGGGAGAGGCAGGCGGATCTCATCTCTGTGAGTTCAAGGCCAGTCTGGTCCACTGGTCTACATAGTGAGTTCCAGGACAGCCAGAGCTATGTAGAGATCCTGTCGCGAAACCCCAAAGTATTTACAACTGCTCTTTTGTTCTTTCAACACTGTTTTATTTAAGCACAAAATCTATTGGTGTAACAGTTCAAGTACCTGAATTCTCATCAGTACAGATATTAAACCACGGGAAGTAGGTATTTCAAGGTTTACAGGTGGAGTCGGTAGGGAGAAGTTTGAGAGGCACGTTGGAGTAAAAGCATTTGCTCCAGATACCACAAGGGCTGCCTTAGAAGTTAAGCAAACTCTCCCTGCTGCTCACAATTCAAGAAACACTAGTGAAAACGGACATTGAAGACAGTCCAGACCTTAGGATCTGTGCGACTTTAGGAAACTTACTTCCCGTCTGTGTGCTTCTGGTGAAGGAAGAACAGAACGACATGAAAAAAAGCAGTTTAGCCATGAGCCAATGGCGGTCGATTTTCTTCTTCACTCTTCTGCATTCAGAATATTCACCTTATCCACTCAAGAAATATTTAGTGTGGTGGTACCGGGGAGGCAAAAGCAGGCGGCTCTCTAGGTTTGAGGCCAGCCTCATCTACATAAAGAGTTCTAGGATAGCCAAGGCTGCATAGTAAGACTGTCTCCAAAAACAAAATCCAAGGAAGAAAAGCGGACAGACCGACCCAGGCCTGACAATATAGGGAGTAAGACTGCTTTCTTTTGAACAAGTGGGAGAGAAAAGTTCTCTCTACGTGGAGAAACCGAAGTTCGGAGCCTCTGAAAGACTCCGGGCCTCAGTTTTTCTTTTCTTTCTTTCTTTTTCTCTCCTTTTGTGTGTGTATTTTTGTATTTTTACTTAGTTACACCCGATCATCGTGGCTCTGCCGAGACTGTCAGTAGGGCCATAGGGAGCTAACTGGGGCTTCCTCTACGTCTCACTCTGCTCAAGCCCGTGGGCCAAGGAACAAGTCGCAGGAGCTCAACAGGCATGGGGAAGCCCGGTCTCACACTACTGGGTCCACCACACATCTCCACTGCCCACGGAAAGGGCAGCCCGGGATTTAACCCATGTTCGCGCTGTTCTTAGCTTTAAAAGGGGAATGGGGGGGGGGGGGGCGCGTGAAGGTGCGCATCCTTGTGTCTCTCTATACTAAGACGGGAAAAATGAAATGTTTTAAATTTTTAAAAAGCGACTAGAACAAACTCTACACAAAGCAAAGGCGCGACAGGAAAGAAACAATGTCGCACACCCCGGAGTTCTGTAAATCGGCCCCCTGCAGGGCAAGCCTGTTCACATGTGATGAGAAATCCCATCTAGACGGTGGCTAGCCTGGGGAAAAGGCCCCACATCCCTGGAGGACAGCGCAGCATGTTGTCCCCCCGACCCAGGCCTGGAGGAAGTGCCTTCTCCTCCTGGCCACCCCCAAGGCCCGGGTTCCGGGCGCGGCGCGGGCTTCGGGCGGGTCCCGCCTCCTCCGCGCCCTGCCGGGGCCTGGCCGGGGGCTCGGCCCTCTTAGCCAATGGGCGCCGCGCTCCGGCCCCCTCCCCCGCGCGGGAGGAGCCGCCGAGGTCGTGCGCGACGTGCGGCTCCTGGGCCCCCTGATCCGCGGCCCCCGCCCCGGCCGCGTGAAGCGCGCGGCGGCCGCGTGAGGAAGCGGGGCCTCGGACGGGCTCCGGTCCTGCGCTCGGCGGCACGTCCCCGCCCGGGGCGCACAGCCCCGCTACTCGTACCTTGCTGCTGGGCTCCATGGCCGCGCGGCGATCGTGGCTCTAGCTGTGCCGGCTGCGAGCAGGGGAACGGGCGTGCTCTGATTCTGCGTCTCCCGCCGGATCTCCACGCCTTGGCGCCCTTGGGACCCGGTAGCCTAGACCGGGACTCCACGAGTGATTCTCAGCTCCTTGCCGGAGAGCGCGCGGAGCAAGCCTTTTTATAGGAACGCCGCCATTGGTCGGCGCCGCAGGGGGGGGGGGAGGAGTAGGTGGGCCGGGAGGGGGCGGGGCCTGAGCAGCACGTCCGGGGCGGGGCTCCGGGGGCGTGGTTCTTTCGGGAGGGGCGGAGGGCTCCCTGACCGCAGCCTAGCTCTGGATGCTCAACTCCGCGGTCCTGGACGCGGGGCACCCGAATGGGGGCGCTCGCTGTGTGGCTCTGGGCTGGTGCGCACACCTCTCTGAGTCTCAGCGGCCGCTAGCAAAATGGTAGCGCTTGGTGCCGGGATGTGTTGCCATCGCTGGGACTCCGGCTTCCTCATTCGGCTGCCGGATAACTTTGGTAAACTGGGGATAATAATAGTACAACCTCTTGGGTTGTTAGGAAGATTAAGCGAGTTAATATTTGGAGCGTGTTTACAGTCGCGTCTGTTACGTGTAAAGTGGTATTAAGTTTATTACACAGACCATGGGAGGTCTGGCTCCGAGGTAGGGGTCCCCCTCTCCACGCTCTAGTTCTGTTCCCAAGCCTCATCTCCTCTTTTGCTCCTAGAAACCATGCCCGCCGCTTCTCTAGGCTATAAAATCACTGCCTCCCTCTATATCCGACTCTATGGTGACCCCTAAGTAGGAAGACTGGAGAGGCTGGGTGCCTAAATGGTTAAGGATGCAGAACACCCTGTCATTGAACCAGCTCACCTATAAACTGGCTCTAACTGATCCTGGGCAAGCAAGCTCCAGGCCAGTGAGCCATTTTTTTTTTTCGGATAAAATGGAATTCGTATCAAACCCTGTGCTATCAGAATTAATGGTGAACTCCTGAGTATGGCATTTCACAGTCTCTGTAGTGGTGATACTGTGGTTATCGGAGTTCACTCTATTTTCTTTTCTAGAGGCCGTGGAGGGAAGGCCCTCCAGTCCCAGTTTCCCATCTAGGTTCAGCTGAGGGAGGGATCTGGGAGAAGGTAGTTTCTGTTAGAGACAGAAAGCTGAGCTGTGTATCAGTTGCTGGCCTAGGGGGCACCCTGGTTGAGCATGGGTCTCTGAAAGGGAAAGCATGTGGGCCTGGTAAGTCGGGGGTCTCCTACCTCCTCTCACGGTGCACACTACCTCGCCCTCTCTCTTCCCCTGCTGTCTGCAAGGCCTGCTCTGCTCTTGCTTCCTCCAACTCTGGACCCTGTTACTTTGCCTCAGTACATCTGATGTCAGGGCTGGAGCAAGGCCCAAGCCTGGTCATCCCGGCCCTTCCTTAGGGCACCAGTTCACAAACTCCACCTCACCCATCATAAAAGCACGTGTCTATCTCTTAGCCACAACATGTCACACTCATCAACCAGCCACCTTTTTTCCCTCTGCGATGGTCCTGTGCTAGTCAATTTCCCAGGGACAGAGGCATGAGAACCTATTGCTAGCTTCAGAGAGTCCCCAAGCTGGAGGGACAGCGAGAAAGGCAATGTAAAACATTGCTAAGGGAGAATACAGGGAAGTCTCCAGAGAGACTGGGGGGTGGGAAGGAAGTAGTTCTTTGGCAAGGGGGAGGTGATGTAGAGCAGAGTTTGGAAGGTGGAATAAATAGTTCAATAGGTAGCTAGATGGGAAGGCCATTCTTGGGGAAGAGCAGGTACAAAGGCAGCAGACAGAATGATTTCAGAAAGAGAGTCTCTAGACAGTACCCTGAACCACAAGTTTCAGACTTTGGAGTCCCAGCTTTGCAACTTACTTGCCAACCTCTGAGTGCATCTCTTTCCTCAGCTTCAAAACCCACATTTCTAAAATGGGCCTAACAGTCTGCTCCGGGGTGGATAAGGGTCTGTCAAAGCAGTTGCAGTAATTCTTTGGGGGTTTTTTGTTTGTTTGTTTTGTTTTGTTTTGAGACAGAGCACTGGCTGTCCTGGAACTCACTATGGAGACCAGAATGGCTTCAAATTCACAGAGATCCACTTGCCTACCAAGTACTGGGATTAAAAGCTTGAGCTACCAGACCCTACTCAAACTGCACTAATTGTTTGTGTCAGCATTTCAGCCCAGTCCCGTGGTCCCATGGCACTCAAGGAAAAGCAGAGTAGCCAGGAAAGCAGCTTTTCTTTTCCTCATTCCCCCATACCTGCCCAGACACAGATCCCATTGTCTGCTTGGAATTCCACTTCTCTGTCCTCCTCTGTAAATGTTTTATGGCCCCTGGAGGCTACTGTTGAGAGGCAAATTCACTAGGAGCTATGGACACTGGATCAGAGGTTAGATTCTTAGGTGGACTATTATCTTGGAGACCGAGTCCTTGGAAACAGAATTTAACCCCGTCTAGGGAGAGAGCACCAGAAAAAGCCCATGAGATGTAAAGCCTTAGCTAGAAAAGTGTGCCACAGAGGGAGGGATGTGGGCAGAAGTCAGAAGTGGCTCCTGGTAGTGTGATTGGCACCTAGGAATTGGGGGGTGGGGTGGGCAGGGAGAAGAGGCTGAAGAGGTAGTTGCAAAGACCCCTAGATGCCATCTAGGTAGAGGCTAGAGTTTTAATTATTGGGTGGACAGTGGGGAGCCACAGAGGGTTTCAGAGAGAAAGAACCCGTTGACATCTCGGCATCCCCAAACCCTCCCCTGAGGCTCCTAAAGGGGCTGTGAGAAGAAGGTGGGGTCCTGCAGCGCCTCCCCCACCCCCACCCCCAACCTGGTGAGACTCTCTAGTCTGTGTCTACACTAGCAGCTTTGTTCCCTGGAGGCTGACTTCAGCCCTTAAAGGAACGCAGCCTTTTCTGGGTTGCTTCCAAGCTGCTCCAGCATCAGCCAGTCTGGAAGAAAAAGAGCTCCCGGGACTGGCGGGAAGGTGCCAGGTGCACAGGACGGTGCGGGCGGGTGCCAGCCTGGTGCGTGTCTGCCAGCACGCCTGTGGGCCGGGAGCCTTAGAAATGGGGCGGTGCTTTGTGGGGCGGGTCCTAGCGGCTACGGAGTAAGAGTGAGTAAGACAGCCCGGAAAAGGCTCTGTTGCCTTTAAAGGCAAGTGTCCCTGGTAGGGCGAAAAGGCTTTGCTGAATCAGTGGCGGCTGATGCAAGGGGCACAGGCAGGGCCTGGGGTGGGGATTCCCTAATCTGAAGGCTGTTTTGCAACTCAAATCCTCCTGTGCTGGAGGTAAACATGGTATAGGGCTCTTCAAGGGCATGCTGGGCCAAGCAGGACACACTTCTGTGTGTTTAATATTTCATTCTGATTTGCACACCTGCTCCAACCACCTGCTCCCAGCTCATTGGTCATCCCTTCCTTATCCTTTCTGTGTGCCCCTCTATTCATTGATGTGGGGAGTGCTGAAGGAACTATCCCTCCTCCACTGACTGCTGAGCTCTAGATTCAGCTTTCTAGCTGCCTCCAGGACAGTGTTCTAGGTGTCCCACAGGTGCGCACGCTCACCATGCTTAAATCTAGACTCATTGCTGCACCCCCTGTCCTCCAAGTACCCCAAAGACGGGTACTTCCAAACTGCCCTAGTCAGCTACCTGACATCCACCAGACTCCTCACCCTGATTACCTGGTCCAGCCAACTCTGTGGCTTCTGTCCTTCCAAAAGACTATGGGCCTCCCTCACTTCCTCTCCACTCCTTCCCCCGCCCCCCATCAGAGCCATTTCTCAGGCATCTTCCCACTTGCCATGGACCTTTGTCTCTCAAAAAAAGTCACTCCCTGCTTTAAGCATATTTCCATGGCATATGACAACATGGCTGATTCTCACAGGCATCACATGAAGGGCCATATGCAAAGGTGTGTGCACACAGGCACATAACATGCAAACCATTCGTGAGCTCAGAAGCCTGGAGAACAGTTCTGCCTGGAAGGGAGGGGCTCCGCTGTGAGGGGGCTGCTGGGTAATCAGGGTGAGGCAGCTGGAAAACAAATCAGCAGTCCTGGTGTTTTTCTCTTTGCCCCAAGCTTTCGCATGACTCAGCATCTCGCAGTAACTAATCCCATCTTTATTGAAAATTTTGATACTTTGTCATCATGGATTTTTCTTTTTTTATATATTAGTTTTGATTTCTCAAAAATATGACATTAAGAACTGGGACTGCACCTCAGTGGTAGAGTGTTAGCCAAGCCTGGATTTGATTCCCAGCACAACTGGGTTTGGGGGCACCCTTGCCCATCCCTGCCTTGAACTTTACTTGGGAGGGGAGGGCTTGTCTCACCACACCCGATTCCTGACCCTGTTGATAATGTTCTTCATGGGGCTGCTGGTTGCACAGGTGTGCCCCATTTGTGAAAACATTGAGCTGTGTGTGTTTCTAATTTCTGCATTTGTCAGAATGCATACAGGCTTCTGTCTGTTTTTACTTAAAATCTTTACATGGCTCTAGCGAAATATCCCCTGATGGTGTGTGTCTTCCAGGATCCCAAGCCCCCAAACCAACAGCTGCTACACACTGAGTCTCTTAACATATTTCTGTTTTATTTTGAGTCTTTTTCATTTGTTAGTTTGTTTTTCAGACAGAGCTGCATTGTGTCAAACTCACAATCCTCCTGCCTCAACCTTTGAGTAAACCATTACCTCTTACTTTTTGTAAGTCTGTTAAATGAAACAATGCAACAATCCAATTGATTTAATCTCCTCAGGATGATTAATGTTATGAGATGAATGTTTTTTTCTCTCTCTCCATTTTCCAAAGGAGAAAAGAAAAGCTATACACAGTAATTTGCCCAAATCATATAGATAGTAAACATGAGTTTTTAGTACTTAGATTTTAAAAACATGGGGCCAGCGAGATGGTTCACTGGATAAAAGTGCTTGCTGTACAAACCTTTGCTTGAGTTCGAACCCTAGAATGTGTATAAAAGCCAGACAGCGGTGGCGCATGCCTTTAATCCCAGCACTTGAGAGGCAGAGCCTGGCAGATCTCTGTGAGTTCGAGGCCAGCCTGGTCTACAGAGCGAGATCAAGGACAGGCTCCAAAACTACACAGAGAAACCGTGTCTCAGGAAAAAAAAAAAAAAAAGTAAAAAGCCGGGCAGTGGTGGTGCATGCCTTTAA